GTGGGATAATAAAAGGAGGAGAGAAGGTACTGGCTGTGAGGGACAGCACCTGAACCTCCATCCACCATCCATCAAACACTTTTGTGCTAGGCTCTAGGGAATAGAGGGTTTCATGAAGCTTGGTCTCTATTTCTAGTGGGAGAGATGTATAAGTCAGAATTAATAAAAATGATGTTGTAGAGACACAGGCAAGAGGCTGAGGGAGAGCATGGAGGAGCGCCTAAGTGCGAGCATGAACATACTCAAGTGTGCCCAAGACCTGGGAAACAGATTTGGGGATGCTACCCAGAGGAAATGACCTTTGAACTGAGCTGAAAGGGTGATTAAGAGGCTTGTGGTGAGGCTGGAGAGATGGTTTAGTGGTCAAGAGAACCTGGCTGCTCTTCCAGAGGACCCAGGTTCAACGACTCACAACAGTCTGTAACCCCTGTCCCTGGGGGATCTGACACCATTTTCTGGTTTCCTTGGGCATTGTATGAAATGTGGCACATAGGCGTACATTCAGATAAGCACTCAGACACATTAAATAAAATAATAAGTAAAATCTCCCCCCTCCAAAAAAAAAGGAAAGAAAAGATATCAAAGAGGTTGGTGGGTGGCCCACTGAGGAAGGTTTTTGGGGCATTAGAGTATGACCTATATCTCAGCAAAGTTAGTGTGCCCAGGATGGTATACCATGCCTTAGTCTCCTAAAAGTTATGAGAATTCATCAATGCTCTAATCTGGGGGAGATTTGAACTTTTAAAAAGTTACCCTGGAGGCAGAGCTGAGGAGGAGTCAGAGTGAGGCCCAGGAGCAGGGGTGGAGGAGAATCTGCAGCAGGGCCAGATGACTTGGAAGAGGCCTAAAGCAAGCAGTGTGGACAGAGACCAGGCGTGCTCAGAAACAAGCGTGCTGACCAGACATCTGGTTAGGAGCCAGGGGAAGCAGGAGGTTGGGAGGAAGCCAAGTGTCTGGTTTGGACCATTGGGTGGATGGCAGTGTTCTTTGTGGCACAGGGGAGGCCTGGTTCTCCCATCTGTCTGCCTCCAGACTCCATTCTTGCCCTCTGGAGACTTTGCGTAGCTCCCTTTTCTTGGTCCCCATGGAAGAATGTTTCCTGTGGCCATTCCTTGGGGATTTGCAGCTCTCGGAGACTGTTTTCCAACCTTGTCTCTTTGGCACTCCCGGGACTCAGAGGAGACGTTTTATTTGCTAGTGTAATCACTGGCGTGCTCTCAGGCAGTGAGAAAAGGGAGGACTCCCTGACCCTCTGGCTCCTACCCCCACACCCCTGTTGTCACTCAGCAGCTATAGACACTGGTAGGCACCTGGTGTGGGCGAGATCCCGTGCTCCCGCAGCAATGAATGAGACCCAGTCTTTACTGGAAGGTGAGGGAGCCGACAAAGATTTCTTCTTAGTTTATTTCAAATCCAGGCCACAGTACATTTGACGTCAGCAGGAAAAGGTGCCAGATGTGGAGATGCTGAGAAGACAAGGCTCCTGGACCCCGGTGCGGCTGAGACTTGAGACTAATTTGTTGGGTAGATGGAGGCTGGTCTGAGAAGCAACTATCCTTAAGGCCTCCTGTCATCACGGGTGGCTGGAGTGCCCGGAAGTGTAACACTGCTAGATCACCTTTTAATTTTCTCTCCTCCCTTGTTAGTTGAGTGGGAACATGACCTTGGGCCCCAGTTTTCTTTTCTATCAAGTCGGTGAGATTTGTCCACCTTCCTGGAGTTGTCTTACAAACCAGGGTTGGTAATCTATGGAAGCACTTGGCACACAGTAGGTACTCCACAGCCACAGGGACGCACACACCCCTTAGGAGCAGCAACCGAGAATGTAAGATGTGGGGCCTCTTAGAACGACCATGCTGCAAGGGGAGAGCCATGGGTGGGATTTATAGAACGGATCATGAATGACTTAATGCAATTTGATAAGAAAAAGAACTTCAAAGCTTATTTTAGGGTGCGGAGGTGGGGTGGGGTGGATACTAGAAGTGATCCTCGTGGTGAAAAGGTTTAGACTCAGAGGTGTGGTACCACTTACCCAACATTGCAGGCTTCGTCAGAGACAATAGTGCAAGAGGAACCTGGGGCAGCGGCGATAGTGAGACCAATTCTCTTTTCTCTGAACTGCCCCCCCCCAAAAAAAAGGGGTGAGTGAGCCGACTTGGGAAGTGTTCAGGCTCTCATTTCTGACACTTTCTGCTGCCCCTAATCTTTCCCCAGGCATTTGAAACAGGTTCTCAGTATCTGGATTCCAGTTCAGTCCACCTAGGCTTCTCAGCAGGGACTGTCCAGGAAACCCCTTCTATGCGAAGCAGGTGTGGGTGTGGGAAGGCTCCCTGGAGATGAATCACCGCTGCCTCCTCCTTGGTGAATCATGCTCGGGGCTTGGGAACGGCTAGCAGGTGGACCTGAAGGAGAGCCGAGAACAACATTGCAATGACACATCTCAACCACCAGAGGGCAGAAAAGGGATAGGCAAACCCGGAGCCAGCCACTGGCTGGCACTCAGAGCTTGAGAGGGGGTGGATGGAATGTGAGGACCCAGCTAGGGCTGGATGTGGGCAGTCGGTGCCTGGGATGCTTCCATCGTCTGCCTCTGCGCTGGATTCTCTGCTGGAGAATGTCAGAACAGATTGGGGCTGAGGAGGGGGCGCGGCGGTGGTGGCGTGGGGCTCATCCACCCAATGCTGTCCTGATCTTCCAACTACAGATACCCAAGGTCACACAGAAAGTCAGAGAGGCAGTCTGCTTTTTGAAGTTTCGGGAGCATTGCCATTGGATGGGGCACAGATCTGGCCTCCATGTATGTCTGAGATGAGACACCTGGCCGTGGACAGGTGTCCAGGTCTTGCTGACTCTGACTCCCCTCCTCTCATCGTGTGCCTTTCTCCCTGGCTCCTCTCTCTCACTATTGTGCTCTCTTGGATCCGTTTCCTCACTCCCTTCTCTTTGCCTGACTCTTCCACCTGACTGATTCTCAGCCTTCTTTGTCAGCCTCTAGGCTCTGTCCTCTGGGGACTTCGCTCCTTTCCTGGGTCCCTGTGGCAGGATGTTTCCTGTGGTCACTCCCCGGGGATTTGTAGCTCTCCGAGGCTCTGTTTTCCGACTCCATCTCATGGCCACTCCTGGGACTCAGAGGAGGAGTTATTATTTACTAGTGTGATCAGTGGTGTGCTTCCAGGCAGTGAGAAAAAGACCCCCCTGGCTCCTACCTACCCATTAGCCCTAGTGACCCCTATTGCCAGGGCAGCAGTCATAAATGCCGGGAGGCACTGGTGTGGGCGAGATCCTGCGCTCATGCAGAAATGAGTAAGACCCAGTATTCATCAGTGAGCTCACCATGGTGAGGGTGAGAGAAAGGGAGTACGTAAGTGAATCTGCCTAAATAGGAGGACACTAAGGGCAGGAGGGAGGGCACAAGGCGTGCTTTGTGCTCTGCATGTGCTGGAACAGGTAGAAACGGAGTCTAGTTGGCTTAGAGAAGGCCTTTTAAGTGGTCTTCAAAGGGTAGACGAGGTCTCAGCAGAAGGAGACACCATGTGGGGCTGTGGACACATTCTGAGCAGGGTCATCAGTGAAGCCATGGGTCTTGGCTTCACCATGTGCTTGTACCCTTGTTCAGACAGAGAGGAATGGCGGGGGGTGGGGTGGGGGGTTGGAATACAGTGGGTGTTGGCATGTAGAGTGTTTCACCATGCACTTTATGGAAGAGACACAATGTAGCTTCTGAGCAGAGAGGTGCCCGCAGGTGTGAATGAAGTGGCAGAGTCACCGTGAGCTGAGCGGGCCATGCTTTGTTCCCCGTGGGCCTCAGGGTGGAGAGTTTTTATTGAACTCTACCTGAAGTAGGTTGTGATGGAAAGGGAGGCATCACTTTAGGAGGGGAGGAGGGGGACATTCACGTGCCTTGGGGAGGAGGTGGGGGGACACTAGGTGGCTTGGCAAAGACATAGAAAAGGACACTGGAGGACCCAAGACCCACTTCATCTGTGCTATGCAGGCTAGTTGCCACGGTGACCCCGAGGCAGAGACCAGGGGGGTCTGATTCTGCTAGCTCTCAGAATTCAGTGGTGGTGTCCTGTCCTCCTCCTCTCCCTTGGCGCTGCCTGGTGAGGGCCTCCACACTGGTGCTTGTGGCTTGGGGTTTCTGGCTGCTGCTCTGGCCCTGGGGAGCAGGGTGTGCCTCTGAGTCACCACCTGGGCATCTGGGCCTGGAACCATGGGTGAGTCACCCAGCACTGCGGGAGCAGAGAGAAGCTGCTTGGTGTCTGGAGGGGGAAGAGAGCTGGGCCCACAGGAAGGGTGGTGCCCGACTGGGGATGGATAAAGAGCAGAAGGGGGCAGTAGGGAGTCTGAAGTCTTGAGGTCAGCTCTCCCCTGAAGACCCCTCCCTTGGACCCAATTGAAGGACACAGTGCTTATTTTTCTCCATGGAGAAGACACATTGGAGACTGGGTCTAGGCCCCTGTTCTCAGCTTTGGGTAGAGGAGTCATTCCCATCCACTCACCCCTCTGTAAAATGAAGAAGAGGAGGTTCATGTCCTCCCTTTATTCCTCTTTGTATCCTGTGCAGACTGCTGCTCACTGCAGCTGTGCCTGCTATGGAATAATCACCATGGCTCATTTTGAGGTACTTTTAAACACACCCACTCACCTCACTACCGTCTTTCAGAGGGATTCTGGTGCCAGGCATTTAAAGCAAAACAAACCAAACAACAAAAGCTTTCTTCGAGCTCCTGACATCCTCCTCTATATGTCTCCAGCTGCTCTTTTGGACCCCAGCTTTCTAAGTGTGGCCTGGACTGCTTCTCTCCGTCTCTTTCTGTCTCCCTCACACACACACACACACACACACACACACACACACACACACACACACACACACACACACACACGAACACAGGCTGTGAAGTTCCTACCCACTCTGTGTCCCTGAATCCTCTGACACAGGAGGGAGCTGTGACTCACAGGCATAATATGAGAACCAGGCTTGGAATGAGTCTCTAGGCCCCAGAACAAAAGCTGCCTCCCCTCATCCCTGACCAGGCTCCCCTTTCCCACAATGCCTCTGTCTCCTTGCTGTGGCCTAGATGAGCTCAGGGATGCCCTTGGCTGGGCCTGGAGGCTCCTCCAGCTAGTGTCGAGGCCAGCACTGTCTGAGAAGGGAGTGGACCAAGAGGGAGTGTGTGGGGTGGCCGGATGCCAGATTCGATCAAGATCAGGTTGGGGCAGGTTCTGTTTCCAAAAAATGAAAAGTTGGAGGTCAGGAGAGCCTATAAATCCCTACCCTGGGTGTCTTGGCCACTTTACTCCCTTCTGGGTCTTTCTGCCACCTGGTCTGGTGAGTACCTCTGTGCTGCAGCAGACCTGGGTTCCATCTTTGTCCCGCTGTCTTGATCCTTGTCTGTTTTCTCTGACTTCCGCGTGGGGTCTCCCATTTGAAGGGACCCTCTGCGAAGTTGTGGATGGAAGGACCTTCTCCAGATTACTCTTCAAGGGCTTAGGGGTAACCCTGTTCTCCCGTCTCTGGGTCTGAGGTCCCTGTGTTTCTCAGGTTAGATAGGCCCATCTAGGGCCTCATTTTGGGGGTTTAGGCCTAGGGGTAGGTCATGGATATGTGAGAGGTGCTTTCATAGGAATTCCTAGTTTGAGTCAGATACAATGCAATAGAGCCTCTCTGTACTCCTGCACTCAGGAGACTGAGGCAGGAAAGTCATGAGGGCCAAGGCCGGACTGGGCTGCATAGTGAGATGTTGTCAACAAAAGCAAACGATACTGAGTTCATTTGTTTTTGCTTTTGCATCGTCTTAGATTTTATTAGGACCAAGAAGCCAGAGACCGGGCCTCAGGGCTCAGTCCACCTGGGTCCCTGTGTAGCGGCAGAGCCTTGCCCAAGGCTGCTTCCTGTGCTTTTCTGAGTGGGTGAAGGTGGGCTGGCGCGGTGGGGCTGGCGGGGCAGAGCTGGCAGGGAACACTCAAGGCTTTCCCTTCTTCCAGCCCTGGCACCTCTGGTCTTACCCTGGAATCCACTCAATATTCTTAGAGGAATTTGGAAAAAGTGACCTCTGAACTGTGACCTCATCTCTTCCCCTTCTAGCTTGATCCGAAGACACTGGCCATTTAACTTTTTTTAGTTCTAACCCCAACAGAATCTTTCCTGATGAGGAGGGTCTTCAATTGCCTCCATCCTGCCACGGGTCTGCAAAGAGCCAGCTTGTGTGACACAGCTCTCAGCCTGACTGGAGACACATCTGTCACCCTATGAGAGTCCCTGGTCTGAGGGATGAAACGTTCTTGCCTAAGAGAGTTTCCCTTTAGATGGCAGAGACTCTGACTTAGATAGACTAGAGTTGGCGAAAGGTTCGGCCCCTTCACGGAGCCTCAGACTTCTGGGCTGTCCCCATGGCTACTGTCAAGCAGTCCTGGGAGCCCATGGACACATTTGTGCTCTACATTCCTGGCACTGATAGGAGTCAAATTGACACCCTAGCCACCCTGCCATCTCTTCCTATGCCCCTCTCTGCCTCCCATGGACACTCAAGTAGGGAGGCCTACCCTCAGAGGTGTGTCCTTAGGATGCAAGGTTCTGCTTCAGGTGACTCCCAGACCACAGGGGAGGTTTAACATCCGATTACAGTGTCAAGTGGCAGTGTGGACCCTCATCCTTAGGGAGCACGCTTCGAGGGCGGGATGCAGGCACCGACTTGCCATTCCTAGAGGGGCTTGGTGAAGCAGAAGCGGGCCTTGTAGACTGGATGTGAGGCCGCAAGTGCCTTGGTGGTGTTCTTTTGTGTCTCTAGATCCAAGATGTCCAGTCCCCTGGAAGAGGCTATGAATGTGATTTTCGACACCTTCTACAAGTACTCCTGTCAAGAGGGTGACAAGCGCAAACTCAGCAAGGGGGAGATGAAGGAACTTTTGCAGAAAGAACTGCCGAGCGCTGTGGGGGTAATTGAGGAGGCTGGGAGGGGAGAGTCCTGGGGAGCGGGGGGCGGGGGGGATGATGACGATGACATCTTTTCCTGCTTTCATTCTCAAGGTGCCTGCTGGTGCCAGTGCCAGGGTGGCGCTGGGGATCTTCCCCTTAGCTTTCATGTCTCCGGTCCCTGGGATGGCAGTTAGGTCTGTGGGCTTATTAATGGCTGTTCCCTTCAGCATTCCTGAACACATTACTGCTGGGGGCTTCAGAGTCCATCGGTCTAATCCTGTTGTTTTCTAGTTGAACAGTCCCAAACTCAGAGAAGGGTAGCAGCAGGCCCACAGTCGCACAAGGACATTACTAGGGCATTCATTCCTCTTTTTTATTTTACACATTTACATGGCAAGCCAAGAAAGTATGCAGAGAAAATAGGTTCCAGCTGAGACATGTGCCCTGGGACATTTGGCACAGTGGTTACAGCTAGCCCTCAGTTTACCTCCTGCCCTATACAGACTAATAGGGAATCCTCGAGTCAGGTCTCAAGTCTTAATATATGAGGCAGGTCTTGCTTTTTTTTTTTTTCTCCTTGTTCATTTTGGGTTAATTCTCTCTCATTGTTTTGACCGGTATTAAAAAGTTTGTCTTTTCTGAATTCATCCTTGAATGAATGCCCTTGCTGATGTAGGGGGCAGTAAACTTTGGTTTTTTCTCATCAAAAGGATGAAGCTGGACTTTAGCAGAGATTGGAGTTTATACATAGTCTGGGGAATACCCAGCATCCCCCACTCCAGCAGGCATGCTGGAGACTCTGACATCATACGTCGTCTATCTGTTCTTCCTCAGTGGGCCTTCTTGGTTCCTCTCAGGGGTTTCCTGCCCACCATGAACCTGGCTGCCCAGCGGGGAGGGGAAGCTGGATGCTGATTGTAAAGAGGAGGTTTTGGTGGTGGGTCAGGCAGGGGCCAGCTTGGTGACAACTCTGTTTCCTGTCACCTTCAGGAGAAGGCAGATGAAGAGGGACTCAAGAAGCTGATGGATGACCTTGATGAGAACAGTGACCAGGAGATAGACTTCCAGGAGTACTCTATGTTTCTGGCAGCTGTCCTTATGGTACGGGAAGACCTCTTCCAGGGGTCCCCAGACAGGCCCTGAAGCAGTGTGCCACTCCCTGCCACGTGTCTCCTGGACCGATAAGCTCTCTGTCTTTTTGAACTTGTGTTAAATATACTTTTGTTTGTTCATTTGTGGACAATATTGTAATGGCTCAGTGATGCTTTGTGCCTTGGCTGGATCAGTTAAAGGGCTGGAAACAGAAAGCTCTCTGGTTTCCAACACTTTCTGTACCCTGACTCTCCTGAGGCCAAAGGTTCTACTCTTTGGGATTTCACATAAATGAATGAGATTTTGGGAACTGAGGTAGGCTAGTAACATTTTATTTTGTTAAGAAAGATATTTTAAAAAGGCAGGTTGGGCATAGTGGTTCAACCTTTAATCCCAGCACTCAGGAGACAGGGGCAGGGACATGGGTAGGGGCAGGACCGGGGCCAAGGGCAGGGCCAGGGGCAGGGCCAGGGGCAGGGCCAGGGGCAGAGGCAGCAGATCTCTAGGAGTTGGAGGCCAGCTTGGTCTACATAGTAAGACCCTGCCTTAAAACAAAACAAAACAAAAACAAACAGGAAACATACAAAAAGATAATTGCCACCTACAACTACAATCATTTCCCTTCCCTCCCCAGTTTCAACAGGGAAGGGAGGGTATAACCTCAGAGCATAGCATAGGCCTTACCCTTCGGGACTGTGACAGGTGAGCGGGTGAGCGGAGCTGCTCAGGGGCAGAGTTGGCCTGGGAGCTGCTCAGGGGGCAGAGTTGGCCTGGGAGCTGCTCAGGAGGCGGAGTTGGCCTAAGGAGTCCTACAGTTTCATTAAGGGTTCCCTTGTCAGATTCCAGGCCCTGGGCAGTGTACTTGTTTGTAGAAAAACTTGATTTTTCTATCTGCTTTCAAGTTGGCTAGCTCAATCTTGAGCTTACCCTCTCCCGGTTGATCTCTGCTAAAACCTCTTAGGAGCCAGCTCAAGCCAAGAATTCTTATGTTTTCTACCATTTTCCTTAAAACTGTAACCTGCCAGGCGGTGGTGGCGCACGCCTTTAATCCCAGCACTCGGGAGGCAGAGCCAGGCGGATCTCTGTGAGTTCGAGGCCAGCCTGGGCTACCAAGTGAGTCCCAGGAAAGGCGCAAAGCTACACAGAGAAACCCTGTCTCGAAAAACCAAAAAAAAAAAAAAAAAAAAAAACTGTAACCTAAGCTGCCATATGTTTTCTATCCCTGCCCCCCCCCCCCCCCCAGCTGAGGACTGAACCCAGGGCCTTGCGCTTGCTAGGTAAGCAAGCGCTCCACCACTGAGCTAAATCCCCAACCCTATGTTTTGCATCCTAAGGCATATCAGGCCTCAGTTTGAGCACATTACTTGCTGTGTCACAACAAGGGTCACCAGCTTACAATCCTATAAACTCTAGGCCCTTTAGTTCACGCTTTCTTACCTCCATCCAATTTCATCTTTTATTATTCTTGATAGGTTTTGATAGCTACTGGGTTTTGTACTAATAACACAAGCGTTCAGAAGTTACCCAAGGTCTGACCTGTGGTGGTTTTAATGGAACTGTTTGCATTTGAACGCCCATGTGGTTGGACTTCTTGGTGGACAGTTCAAGTTTGGTTCAGTGACTGACAGATGCCCTACTAGCTACCTGTTGCTGTATAATGAACCATTCTAAGACAAGGTGGGTGAAAACGTAACGTTTATCTCTCTCATGGTTCTGTGGGTAGGTTGGAAATGGTTGTGGGAGTCTTACTTGGGGTATCTCAGGCAGTTGTAGGTGCAAGTTGGGGCTCCAGTCACCCAAGGGTGCTCTCTCAGCATACTTTGCACTTGGTGATGGTTGTGTGGCTGGAACTCAGACAGAACCACCAGTGTGCTGATAGATTTATGTCAACTTGACACTAACCACAGTCATTTGAGAGGAGGGAACCTCGATTGAGAAATGCCTCCATAGGTTTGGGCAAGCCTTTAGAGTATTTTCTTAATCAGTGATTGATGGGGGAGGACCCAGCCCATGGTGGGTGGTGCCATCCCTGGGCTGGTGGTCCAGGGTTCTATAAGAAAGCAGGCTGAGCAAGCCATGAGGAGCAAGCCAGCAAGCAGCACCCCTTCATGGCCTCTGCATCAGCTCCTGCCTCCAGGTTCCTGCCCTGGTTGAGTTTCTGGCCTGGCTTCCTTCAGGGATGGACTACAGGGCAGAAGTGTAAGCCTAATGAAGCCTTTCCTTTCCACCTTGCAGTTTGGTCTTGGTGTTTTGTTGCAGCAATAGAAACCCCGACTAAGACAATCAGCTTACCGCATCCCTCTCCAACAGGGTGTCAAGAAGGTGGGCTTCTCTCTTCTTATTACCACAAAAAGAGACCATTTGTCCCAGACGGCCTGCCTGACCCTGTCTCCCGGCTCTAGACATGTAGGGAGGACAGAGCACAGAGAACAAGTGGCTGTCACATGGCCTCTCACCTGGCTCCTTCCTCCTCTTCAGAGCTCTGTCTGATCTACTCTGCAAGTGGCCCCCACACATCAGTTTCCCCGGGGAAGGAAGGAAACAAGCAGAAAAGCACTGCCTTTACTTGTGTTATTAGAATTATTATCCATCTCCTCTTTTATTAAAAAAAAATCCCAACTTTTTTTTCTTTCAAGGTATCAACACAGCCAGCTAGAAGTAGTCCTATTACATAGCTAAGCCCCCAAAGATGTAGGGGAAGCCCTGTTTAGAGAGGTCACTTCTGCCGTATTAGTGAGACAAAAGCTCTTGAGGAAAAAGCTTTTCGGCTCTCATCCTACTCTGTCTTCCACCTAGAGCATAGACAGTGAGACCTGGAGGTATAGCAGCCATGCTGTGGTCAGGAATCAACAAACACAGTGTAGGGGATGGTGTGCTGTAGGTTTAAAGAACAAAGCAATGGAGGAACACTGGACTTCAGATGTGTTCCTGGACCCAACCCCAAACCACCTACAGCAGACTTATTATGTAAAGTGATTAAAGTCACTGCCAGCCAAGTTTTCTACAATTTACTACTGAATAAAACTCTGGATTAGTACAGAATTTGACATTGTGGATATATCTGTGTGTGTGTGCACATGTGTGGACGCATTTTGTGTGTGTGTGTGTGTGTGTGTGTGTGTGTGTGTGTGTGTGTGTGTGTGTGTATGTGTGTGTGATGAGGGCGTTGTGTATGCTATGGCATACATGTGGACTCCTTTATGCGGGGTCATCCTGAATCTGAGCCAATCTTAATGATTTGTGGGATGAATAAAGTACAGCAGAAATGATGCCCTGGGAGTTCTGAAGTACAGCTTACGAACCTTGCAGCTTCCAGTTTAGGCTCTTGCAGGCCTCACTCTAAGATACGTTGGAAGCTAGGGCCATCCTCAGAGAAGCCCAAGCTCTGTGGGGGAACTACAAGTCGGACCTTCCTTCCCAGGGAAACTCTGATGTGTGGGGGCCACTTGCAGAGTAGATCAGACAGAGCTCTGAAGAGGAGGAAGGAGCCAGGTGAGAGGCCATGTGACAGCCCCTTGCTCTCTGTGCTCTGTCCTCCCCACATATCTAGAGCTGGGAAACCAGGCCAGGCAGGCCTTCTGGGACAAATGGTCTCTTTTCATGGTAATAAAAAGAGAGAAGCCCACTTTCTTGACACCCTGTTGGAGAGGGATCTGGTAAGTATGGGTCAGGAAGTCATGATGCTGGTAATTAGCATCCTGGGGGTAGTTCTCAAAGCTCCCTGTAAGCACACTGTCATTTCAGCCTCATGACAACGTGAAAGGGGCTATCATTAAACCTTTTTTACAGATGGGAAAGCAGAGAGGGGCAGCTTCAGCGTTTGGGGAGCTCTGCTTCTGACTAGGTGCTTGGCCTACCCATGCACCAGCCATTTACTCCTCACGGTGCCTGTACCTGGCAGGTGAGGAAGCAGAGGCCGAGAGGTTAAGGGCTAGTGTCTGGGCTTGACTCACATCTGTAAGAGAACTCCTCAGCCCTGTGGGACACTGGCCTGACAGGTTGGGCCTCTTGTCTCTTTCTGAACTTTGGGCTTTGTGTGAACTGGAGGGGACCTGGCTGAATATGATTCAGATGTACCCGGCACCTCACCTCGAGTCACAGAGAGATGGCACCTGCTGGCAGGTGGTTGGCTCTGTGAACTCTGATTTCTTTTGGTGCTTCATAGGTGCAGGCTTCTCAGGTTTGGATTTGGACAGTCAGTTGGGCTAGCAAGACCAGACTTACCTTGCTGCCTCTGAGTTTCCCCTCACTTGGAGAGGTTCCAAAGTGACTAACCATTCTTTTTGGTATTTGACTAACTGACATCAGACTGTTGAATCCAGACCAGCAAGCTCCCCTCTTCTTTGTGCGGAGGCAGAGGAGGATCTGGACATCACCCTGCTTGTCAAGGATCTGTGGCCAGATCTCCCCCATTCCTCCTGGACTTGCTGCCGGATGAGAAATGTCGCAAGCTCATCTCCTGTCATACCACCATTTTAGTGTGTGGCTCAGCCACAGAGAGCTCTCTAATGTCTCATGGAAAGGGAGACTGAAGGCCAAGGTGAGTTAGTTATCAAATCCAAGCTGATCGTTTGCTCAGCCACTCAAAAAGGAGCCCAGGGAGCAAGAAAAAAGATCTAGTCCAGAAATCCAGCAAAATGGGAAGATGGTAGGCTGGACAACACCTTAACCCAACCGTCAAGGTTCTTCTATCCTTACACAAGGGGGAAAGACGTGGGTCTTGACTAGGGAATGGCTTGAGACTTCCCTGTGCCTTTCCCATGATCTGGAACAGGACATTGAAAAGCGTGGTTGGAAGACTTGTGGTCACAAGGCAGTGATGTGGCTGTAAACCTTAAAAGCATCTTAGTTACTCTTACCTCTGTGTCTCTGGCCTTGAAGCAGGAGGAGAGGGGTCTTGTCCTCTCTTGGAGAGTGGGAGTCCAGACAAACATTCATTGAATGACTCACATGTCTACGTGCAGAGTTCAGCAGAATCTGACCCAAAGACTAAGGTAGAAAAGGAGACAAGCACAAATGGTGGAGGTTCCTAGCATTTCCACCCTCCTTTATTTATTTGTGACAAGGTATTGCTGTGAAAACTAGGTTGTGCTCAGACTTGCAGTGATCATCCTGCTTCAGCCTTCCTAGTTCTCAGAGTACAGGCATGCAGTGCCAAGCTTGACTTCTTCTTGTTTTAGTCATCCATCAGACACTCCTGGGGGCCAGAGGGGAAGTGCTTACAGGAAAATGGCTTTCAAAGAAGTCCTTGAAAAATACCCTAGATGACTTTTTTGTTTTGTTTTTGAGACAGGGTTTCTCTGTGTAGCCCTGGCTGACCTGGAACTTGCTCTGTAGACCAGGCTGACCTCAAACTCACAGAGACCCTCCTGCCTCTGCCTCCTGAGTGCTGGGATTAAAGG